AGTCGGAATGAGGCATGCTACCAGTTGTTGGAAAGATAAGAGAAAGAGCTACGATTTTTATTCAGAAGTCAAGAGCTGAATCATACTGTAGCATGGCTATAAATTTCATTGAAGTTTCAGCATTTTATATTTAAGTTTTGGGTCATTTGTTTTGGGCATGGGTTATGTTTTCGACCCAGTTGGGTTATAAACTGAATCCTTGTCTTTACTATACCTAGCAGCCGCTGTAGTAATCGATTTGGAACCTTTTCATTATTGATAAAAAAATACATTTTGCTTTTACGCTTAAATGAAGAACTAATCATCCAGAGTTGATCTACTGTAATCGCGTTCCGATACTTTGAGGTTTTTAATTTATCAATTCAATTTTGTTTATCTTTCAATTATATTTTATGAAATTTCATTTGCTTAATTTGTTATTTCATGGAATGTCTTGATTAAACTCGTATGATTGTATTCCTAATCTTTAATCGTTGTTTACGTCGCTTAGTCGTTAAATCGCGTTTTATATCGTGTTTGCTTAATTCGCGATTGTATTAATCCGTTTGCTTAATTCGGAATGAGAATTCAATCTATTTTATATCTATTGCGCTTGTCAATTGGTATTGAAATCGAATAGAGGTCGAAGCCACTTAGGGAATTGGTAAGGTAAAAACCAATGATTAGCAGGAACCTGAAAACAGTAGATCGACTTATTTTTATAATCACTTATTTTAATCACTTATTTGCTCAACTCTTTAAAAATTGATCATGAATTAAATCCCCCATAATCACTTATGTTGGTTAATAACAATACAAGAATCCTCGCGATACGATACTCGAGTCACTGTCGCTAAACTACATTTTTTTAAAGTAACTCGTTTTTTATTCGTCTGCAGCAACGGATCAAAATTGGCGCCGTTGCCGGGGATTCTTGTTGTTATTAATTAATATTTTAGTCATAGCTATAGTGTTCTTGTTTTTTTTTCTTGTTTTTTTTCGTTGTGTTTGTTGATTTTCAGGGTTGCAATTTCGGTTGCGGTACAGTTTTTTAAATATTTTTTTACTGTTTTCATAGTGTCGAAAAAATCCAAAAAAAAAATCTCAAAAATCGTATTTTGCTCTATTAGATTAAATTTTGTATTTTCGTATTTTTGTATTTTTTTTAAATTTATTTTAATCGTTTTCTTTCTTTCTATTTGTTTCTGCCTGTTTAGGATATAGTTGGTATTTTTGTGTTTATTGATAACATGGCTGAACAAAGAACTTTGAGGAAGTTGGTTGGCCTTAATGTGAGCTATAATGGTTTATGTATTGACTATCCTGCAGCTGACACACCTTTTGAATCCAAATCTGATTTAATACACTTGTTGTCAAAGCTTAATAGTCTTACAGGTGAGGATCCGCATAAGCATCTGAAAGAATTTCAGGTTGTGTGCTCAAAACCTTCTGAACCTTCGCTAGAGGACATTGTCAAACAAATGGCTTCAAATAATCTCCAGTATGAACAACAAATAGATTCTACTCTCCAGACTTTGCAAACACAGATTGAACAACTTGCCTCTTTGATGAATATCATACAACAAGCTCAAGGATCTAACCAATAACCCTTGGAAGAGAATTCTGTTTTTCCAATAGAGTTGCCTTCTGAGATTGTTGATGATACTTGTACTGATTTATTTGCAGCTAATTTTCCATCATTATCTGATTTTGATGATGTTTACTCTTGTGATGTTTGTACTGATATTAAAATTTGCTTTGTTTGTGCTGAAATTGAGGCCGCCTTGCAAGTTAATATTCTTACTGCATATGAGGTTGCAAATGAATTTGTTCATGTGGATGAAGCTCTCGAAACTCTGGCTACCCGAAACAAATCATCCATCGAACAACCACCTTCCCGAGAGCTGAAACTAATTCTTGAAAATCTTAAATATGCTTATTTAGAGATGAATGAAAAACTTTCGGTTATAATTTCTTCTGAACTTTATTTTGATAAAGAAAGTAAATTTTTGCAGGTATTGAAGAAGCATAAGAAAGGAATTGGATCGATCTTGAATGATATTTATGATACTAGTCCGTCCATGTGTATGCATAGGATCTCACTTGAAGATGTAACAAATATAATGAGGCAACCCCTCAATCTTTTTATCTTTGGTGTTATGGAGAAGAAGATCACGTGCCCATTCGACACTTTTACTTATCAAAGATTATCCTTTGATCCTGGAATAAAAGGAGAAGGCACTAATAAAAATTTCAAGTTCAATGGACATTACCCAAAGCTGCTACATGGGAGCCCCACTTTGGAAGAAGAGAATATAGAAGATATCTCTTTGGAAAAGGCTGCTTATGTGATCACTTATCCTCCTTGACTATTCGGGTGTGTTCTTTCCTTTCTCTCACTCTTATTTAATAGTTATATCATTTCATTGAGGACAATGCATGTTTTAAGTGTGGGGGAGGGAATCATTTATTTGTTTTGTTTTCTTTGCTTTTGTTCTATGTTTTCTTATTTTGTTTTCAGTTATAAAAAAATAAAATAAAAAATGCATCTTTTTGAAAGTTTTGGGTTATAGAATAATCTGAGGTTAGTTGTGGAGACTTGGGAAAAGTTCACAAGATCGATATCGTCTTAACACTGTAAGTCTCATGCATATGGAAGTTAATTTGAATTTTTATTATGACGTAGCCTTGAATTCTCATCTTTTAATAGCTCTTGAGTAGTTTATTTTAGCAGTCAGCACCATCTCACATGCACTCTACGTAGGAAAGCCGATGAAAATAAGTGAGTGATCCAAGTTTTATTTGAAAAAAAAGGAAAGAAAAAGGAATGCGCCTTCTAAGTTTGGTGACCCTCACCCGGTCACTTAACCCAACGGTCATAGAACCTACAAAAAAAAGTTGATAATAAGACTCGGTGTTAGTTGGTTCAGCGGTTTCTGGTGCTGAACTTGGTAGGGTGGATTACGGTCTGATCCCCCGCAAGTACAACCGAGTAAGCAAAGGATTATGCCACGTAAGTACCAGAACCCCGTGCAAAAAGGATCAGAGTCACTAACCGGTCTCCTTACTATGAGTGTGTGGAGATAACGGGCTTAATGTGATTGCGCCTGAATGAAAAAAAGCAAAAAGGAGGATGAGTAAGTTAGGCTTTGGCATAATAATATGATTCGAATTGGTTTGTATATTCAAGAGACAAGATTAGTGTTCCTACGATATCCTTAGTGTGCAAGATTAGTACCTATTGATGCAATCTTAACCGAAGAAGAGTTTGTAGCCTAGAATGAGTAGCTGATGATGTTGTTGTGTTTCTTTTGATTTTATTTTGCTCGGAGTGCAAAAGTTTAAGTGTGGGGGAATTTGATCAGTGCATTTTGATGCACATTCTTCCATGATTGTACTTATACATTTCTATGATTTCTTTAGTTTATTTTTGTATTTTATAGTGTTTTTCTATTTTAGTTTCTACTCTTACTTGATTTTTGTACTTTGTTTTCAGCATTAGCAGTCTGCACGGATAAATTCATAACTTGAGCTACGAGAGTCGGAATGAGGCGTGCTACCAGTTGTTGGAAAGCTAAGAGAAAGAGCTACGATTTTCATTCAGAAGTCAAGAGCTGAATCGGACTGTAGCATGGCTATAAATTTCATTGAAGTTTCAGCATTTTATATTTAACTTTTGGGTCATTTGTTTTGGGCATGGGTTATGTTTTCGACCCAGTTGGGTTATAAACTGAATCCTTGTCTTTGCTATACCTAGCAATCGTTGTAGTAATCGATTTGGAACCTTTTCATTATTGAGAAAAAATACATTTTGCTTTTACGCTTGAATGAAGAACTAATCATCCAGAGTTGATCTACTGTAATCGCGTTCCGATGCTTTGAGGTTTTTAATTTATCAATTCAATTTCGTTTCTCTTTCAATTCTATTTTATGAAATTGCATTTGCTTAATTTGTTATTTCATGGAATGTCTTGATTAAATTCGTATGATTGTATTCCTAATCTTTAATCGTTGTTTACGTCGCTTAGTCGTTAAATCGCATTTTATATCGTGTTTGCTTAATTCACGATTGTATTAATCCGTTTGCTTAATTCGGAATGGGAATTCAATCTATTTTATATCTATTGCGCTTGTCAATTGGTATTGAAATCGAATAGATGTCGAAGCCTCTTAGGGAATTGGTAAGGTAAAAACCAATGATTAGTAGAAACCTGAAAACTGTAGATCGACTTATTTTTATAATCACTTATTTGCCCAGCTCTTTAAAAATTGATCCTGATTTAAATCCCCCATAATCACTTATGTTGGTTAATAATAATACAAGAATCCTCGCGATACGATACTCGAGTCACTGTCGCTAAACTACATTTTTTTAAAGTAACTCGTTTTTGATTCGTCTGCGACAACGGATCATCGACCGACTAATCACTCAAGCATGAGAAATCATTTTATTTATAAAAATGTTGAAATTAATTTATTTAGAAAGAGTTTGATGAATTATAAATGTATTTTATTATTTCAAACAAAATTAATTAATCTAATAAAATTAATTAATTAAACTAAAAAAACTAATTCAAGAATAATGATGTGGTGTATATCCTAATTTAAGAGTAAAATGATAGAAAGTGGTCCAACATCCAATTGGAGTAAAAGCCTAGATCCTCCTTACTAGTTATAATAAACAAAAAAATATTAATTAAAATAAAACAAAGTAAATATTAAAAACCAAAAAAATGATCCTAAAAGAATGGTGGAAGAGGAACACGTCCAACCACCTTTTCAATTTTTGTTTTCTCTATTTTTTTATTTCTTAAAGGAACCACTTATATGTTGACACTTGGCATAAAATTAAAGAAAAATTGAAACAAAAAATTCCAAGGAAATAAAAGAAATACATAATAGCCAAATTTATTCTTTCATCTTTTCTATCGTGAACCTATATCTTTCTCTTTCAAATTGCAACAATCTCACCACTTTCTTTCATTCAAGTTTCCAATTCCAAAAACTAGTGGTAGTATCTAATGGTGATAAGCAACAATCAATTGAAAAAAGACAATAAAGACAAAAGGGTATGTTACCTGGATCCAACATGGTGGAGTTTGGACGTTGTGTCGATGGGCGAAGATGTACGAGCACTGCTCCAATGTCATATGGAGAGTTCGATTCCGGAAGAACTGCGTCGAAGGGAATGCTCTGAAAATATTTTCCGACGGAAGTGTTGTTGTGCATCTGAAGCAGTGGCTTTTGTCGGTATTGAAATTTTTTTTTCCTTTTTCTTCTATTTCTTTTTCCTGCCAAAGAATTCAGATCGGTTATAAATTACACAAATTTGTTGTAGATTTATTTAAATGGATTAAGGTTATTTTTAATTTGTGTTAGAATGTTTGAATTATGGGGTTAAAACTATGGTAATATCTTTATGTTAAAAAAGAATCAGTTTAGCATCCATGAGTACAATATATGGTTTGATTTTCTGTTGAGTTGGCTGTGAGTTTGGTTGAAAGATTAGAATGATTTGTGAATGGATTTGTGTAAAAAGTATGTATCTTCAGAACAAAGGTTTTGACTTAAAAAATCATACTAAGGAAGAGTGGTTTATTTTGATGATAAAAATTGTGATTATCTTGACAAAGTAAAAAAAAAGCACAAGTTTTCGTATGTGGAATATACAATAGTATTCTATAAGGGAATGTTAGAATAATCGATTTTGAAAAATATATAATTTCAAAAACAACCATTAGGATTCATTATATGGTTAACAAAAAGTAAATTAAAATTAAAAAAGGAGTTGAAAATATTAGGGAGGCCTTATATTTAATCATCTGCCGAGAGTAAAGAAATTGTTGTTGTCTGATATGGACAACAATTCTAGAATAAACTAAGAACAAGAATTATAAAAAAAAGAAGAAAAAAAAGCAAATTTTTGTGGATGAATTGTGTGTGGCTTCTGTAGAAATTGTGAATGAAAAACATAAGACAATAATAGTCCTATTTATAGAGTGAATTAGGTTAACAAAGACTTAGAGGCTAAGTTATCTAAAAGCCCAAAAGAAAGACCAAAGTTTGATTCCAAAAAAGGAAAGAAAATTAGTGGAAAAAAATAAAATAAAAAAAGAAAATGTTGAAAGTGCGGCACAAGAGATTCAGACTCGTGACCTTATGCTCGCAAGCTTCATTCTTTACAAATTGTGTTATGTCAAGTAAACTCAATTTGAAAGTATATGAAAGTGTGCAGATATTTTCTATTTTAAAAATACAAATAATTTGGAATAAATCATTATATTTTTAAATAAGTTTGAGAGAGAATATTTATAAAAATCAAATAATATTATAAAAACAATGTTTAAAATACTTTTGACTGGACTTGAGAATGAACATCTATAAAAAATTAAATAATATTATAAAAACAATGTTTAAAATATTTTTGATTGTAGAAATAAAAGGGCGGACAAATATGGGGTATGACAAATGGTCCTTTAAACTAAGAGGTCTATGTAACACAACCTTCAGGATTTGTGATTCAGAAGGAAGCGAGTAAAGTATATAAGTTGCACAAAGATCTCTATGGCCTCAAGCAGGCACCTAGGACATGGAACGAGAAGATCGACTCATACATAGTCGAATTGAGATTCAACAAATACAAATCTGAGTATGGTGTCTATGTTATGTTGTAGCACAAGTGTTTACAGTGATTTCTGGTAAACAACCGCTAGTCCTCCAAACTATCAAATAATCTTAATGACTGTTATTTAATCTCTCTGGTAACTTGCAGGATCGACTAGATTGATCCTATGGGGTATTGGTCGTTTGGATAAATCTAATTGCAAAGCTGATATTCATAGTTAGGATTTGTATTTAGAATGTTTTATAGACGTTCAATTCACTTCGATTACCATGTTAAAAGAATCTAATGACATGATCAAGTAAAGAAATACGAAACTATGCAATAAAGATTCAGCAAAGAAATACGAAACTGAATCGAATGAATAAATATTCGATTGCAAAGAAATGTTTAAATGCAGAAATGAGTAAATGACTTTGAATGTAAAGACTTTAATGTAAATAGCATGAGTATAAAAGCATGAAATGTAAAAGAGTTTCTGAAATGTAAAAGATTCGAATAGAAGAAAACGTTTAAATGCAAGAAATGAGTAAATGACTTTGAATGTAAAGGTGTTTGAATGACATTGACATGAAAATGGAAAATAAACTGGAAAAGGTAAAGAGTTTTACTGAATTATAAATGTTTGGTGTTATCATACGTACATTGTTCGAGCATTCGTTTCCCTAGCCATGTGGTATTTTAAATGTTTACTGAATTTTGTACAATAGATATGACACCCGAAATCCTAATACTAAGGCTTCTATTTATACTACTTCGACCATAACGGTCTTGCCTATAAGATTCTGCCACGTTCAGAACATGCAGAGCACTGCTCCTTTCTAGCTTCCACGCGTCTTTGAACGCTCTAGCGCATATATATTTGAATTCCAACATCCCGCTCGCGTTTGAATTTCAAATGCTTTGGCAATCTTCGCTTCGAACTCATTTCTCAGACACAGTCTCATTACCACTTCGAGGCTTCTTTTAAATATATCTTCACAACTGTCACTCGAAGCTCCGAGCTTTGACATGTCCGTTCGAAGAACTGCTTCTACCATTCCGAACTGTAACATTTTGCTTTATTCCAACGAAACATCCAATTTGCTTCATTTCGAACTGTATCATCAAAATCTTCAGCCAACAAAATGCCCCTTTAAAATATGTATTTCGATCCTTTGAGAAACACTTATTTTAAATATATTTGCAAGATTTTGATGTGACTTTTGAGTAATCATAACATTTATTGTGTATGACTTCAATCACGTCAATCACGACGCCTCTTGGTTTTCTTAACCGTCTTGAATCAGTATTTCACAGCATGGTGCAGTTATAAAACAATGATTATTATTAATCACGCTTATTACCAATATCAACCTTTACGCCACCTCCTCCTCAATCCAACCCACGACTCCCACGTATCCTAGTCTCACTTAGTGGATGTTTAAGCTTCCATACTATAAAAACTAATCAACTTAGTCTTTTATTCTATTTCCACATTCTGAAACTTTTTCTTCCTCTCCTCTTACTAAAACCCTAAAACTTCCAACAATCTCCAACAATGTCTTCAACAACATCATCCCAACTGAAGAAAACTTCCAAGAAGAAAAGCAAGAACACAGGAACGATTATGGAAAGCAAGGTTGGTACTTATCAAGGTCAATCTGTGCTTATCCCTCAAATGATCTCCAAGGAAAAGGAAATGCTCTACGCCTCTCAGGTATTGATTCCAACTAACGCTGCTGGAAAGAGGTTTGCTCTAATGGGTCCTCTTACAGTTTTTGAAATCTTGAAAGATACTAGAAAAATCTTCCCTGTCTGTTACAACTTTAAACCTTTGTTTAATAAGATGGATATCCCTAAGATAGGCGAGTCTTCTGATTCGAAAACCATAGAAACTCCAACCGTTCCCCCAAAAGATCCCTTTGTGTTAGACTACGTGAAGAGCAACTTTAAACCATTCCGATCCTGCCCTACCTCTGACATAGCTTACCAAAACTGGCTTACCAAAGTAGAAGATAAGAAATCCCAGCAATGGGAGGAATTAGGAATCTATAATATGATTAAGTTATCGAAACCAGGCTTCACCTATAGTCATCCACTATTATTTGCATCCTTATATTTCTGGGACAGCACCTACAACACCTTTCATCTCCCTGGGGGAATGATAACACCCACGTTTTTCGATATAGCAGCCATCACTGGTTTGTCACCAGTAGGAGAAACCTACATCCCTGATAATGAGGAACATTCCAGTATTATTGACTTCGAAGTCAAATTAGCCAGTTTTTCCAAATTCATTAGCCATTACCACACTGAAGGAGATAGTGTGTCAGATGTGGAACATATTGCTTTCCTCACTTTATGGTTATCAAGATACGTATTCTGTAGCAGGTCCTTACAGGTAGCAAGCAGGTTCATCCCTCTAGCTAGAGACTTACATGAGAATAGGAGGGTATGCTTGAGCGAACTGTTACTTGTTGATCTTTACGAAAGCTTAAGATCATCCGTTTCGAGTTTGAAATCCCATACTCCCAAAAACATCCTTCTAGCTGGCCCCTTATGGTTACTCCAATTATGGCTTAATGCCATGTTTGAACCCTCATTATCGACTGCTGACACTGTTGTTGAACAAGATCCAGAGATAGCGGATAGAATTATTGAAGGTACAAGGCTGCGAAAACTCACCCCGAATGATGATAAAGATGACTTCAAGGTCCTTTTCTCAAACTACATCATGATTTTTTCCAAAAGACATAAATTTGAAGAGACCATGGCACCATTTGCTTCAAGAACTCATGGACCATCATGGTTCACCATGTATCTTTCAGAAGCAGTTAAAAGCAAACAAATTCAAGATATTTGGAAAGCCTTTTTGCTTCCTAGATTAATTTCCTCACGAATCACTCCTTTCAAGAATCAAATCTTCCTCTTTGCCTATCAACCTAACTTTGTTTCCAGACAATTTGGCCTGTGCCAACTAATCCCTGAACCTCTGTTCCAAACAGAGAGTGCCATCACTTCTGGTCGAACCTTTAAAGCAAGAGAAGCCAAAATGCAACAGGAACAATATCAATACTTCGCTCAATTTGAACTACTACCCTTTGAACCCACACACTTCACAGCGAAGGGTTTTCTGGAATGGTGGACTAAGTTCTACCAATCTTATATGTTCGATACCCTCTCCATTCAACAGAAACTAACGGATGCGTTCGATGTGCAGGTACACTCCAAGAAAGGTATGTTCACTCACACCAAAGAGATTAGGGCTTTTCAAAATTATTTCGAAACCACTTATGATCCCACACACTTGGAAACCACTGTGCATCAAGCGGCTGAGACCTTGAAGGAAAAATTTAAAGAAAAAATTTCTAAGCTCAAACTTCCTTCAGGGTTGTCACCTGAGGATAGGTATAGGTTGGCACTCGAAATGCATCCACCTAAATTCCCTAGATTGCCTACCTCAGAATTGGCTCTGGCTTGGTTTCCTCCATACCCTTGGTGGTTCACTTGCAAAGAAATGTTCAAATACCTTCAAAAGAAACCAAAGCCATCTGAGACTATGACATGGGCTCGTCATTGGCTCCATGATTTCCCAGGACATCTTCGCTATGACCTTTCTGCCATGTCGATTATATCTAATCAAGGCGCAGGTGCGAATGCTTGGGAAAATCCCAAATGTTTCTTACTTTCTTCATTTTTAACCTTTACCTTAAT